AAAGGTATGTATTTATCCCCTATGTACCCAGACTTCGTGGACACCCTGCATATTCCACTGCGTGTCCTAATTCCCCATACATAAAACCTTATAATCACCGTTTTCTTAGGAAAACATGCAGAGAATAGGGATAACAGAGTGGTTCTACATAAGCTACTGTTGCCTAAGCGGTTATCCGAAAGAGCTGCCCGTGAAAAATTGTATCATCGTTTGGCAATTAATCGCCACGGAAGCGAACGCACCATGTAGCTTGACACAGGTGGCGCTATTTTTTGCATTAATCACAAAATCTTCCGTGCACTACCTTTTCGATGTGTGCTTCGTTTTAAAATTAATGAAAGCGTTTCAAAACAGCAATCATATCGTCCGTTTACTTTTGCTCGAGTTAAAGGCTTCAATCTCTACCAGCCATTTTTGTGGCTTCTACCAATTATTGTTAAAAATATGCCCGTCCTACGGCGCCTTCGGGATCTATCTAAAACCCTCAAAGACAACCGTACAGGCAATAATATTCCTTCTTCGATTATTATAGATTATAAACCTGTTTGTGGCTGTCATCATGGACAACTTCGACTACTTGACTCGTGATTGGTCCATCCTGGGACCCCATCATCTCGATGAATTTGTTCGACTCTGGTCCGAGTATGATCCGGAAGCTAAGTAAGTCAATTTGTTTGGGTAATTGAGTACTATACAGTCATAGTCCAGTGCCTGAATTCTAAACTTCATTCGTTGTAAGACCTATGCAAAAATTATGCAAAAAAGTCAGTATGCCGATCACAGTCGTTTTTGGCAAGTTGAAGGCGTGCTTTTTCATGTACTGGTTGTATTTTAATTTTAAGGTTTTAACAGTGAATTAGCATCAAATGTACCAGAAACGGCTTTAAAAACTGTATTTATTTATCTAAATTAAAATCTGTAACATCTGTTCTGTTAGTGCACATACAGTTATGGTTTTGGATTTAATGTGGGTGGTTGGAGATATTTTTATACAAATAAAAAGCAATTAACGTAGATGCAATAGCTAGTAAGCTCTGCATACTGAGGCATTTTTATGCAGAAAAAATTCCTTCTAATAGTCCCAAAAAATCAAGATTTTTACTTGTCGTCGGATGGATTTGAAATATTTCCTTAGAGTTGATTGAATGAGACAAATTGAGCCCGCTGACTTGTGATTTAAAGGCTTACTAATATAAATCGTTGGTCGGTTTCGTTTATGTGGAAGCAGAACACGGGACTAGCAATAACCTCATGTGAGATTGGTAAGAGAATGGTAAATATTCGTGTGCCCTAAAAATAATGCCATTCCTAACACAAATTCTACTTGGAATCTTAATTTTGACGATAAACTTGAAAAAACCCTAGCCTTAACCCAGATTATAAACCCTTACGCAAATATTAAATCTATGTCTCCTTTCCAAGGCGGTTAAATCTAGCTGACGCGTATAATACTTTGTTTCAAACGATTTCCAATGGTCGCAGATCAAACGCTTGTATAGTGAAAAAAGACAGCATTACTAAGATTCATTTTACTGCGTATATCAAAGCGGCAATCGGTTTCCCGTTAATGCTACCCACCTAAAATCTCCTGTCCTTTCCTGTTTGGTTTCAGGGGACGCATTAAACATCTGGATGTAGTAACGCTTTTGCGGAAGATCTCCCCGCCACTTGGATTTGGAAAACTTTGCCCCCACAGAACTGCATGCGTGGTAAGCTTAACGGGACAATTTGTCTCATATTCTGCGCGTTAGGACTGATCGCGCATTAAGTAAAAAGTACCACACTGAATTAGCTTCCATTTCAGCCCATCTTTCGAGTAAATAGTACAGGAAATACTAGGTACCTTCCTCTGCTGTTGCTTACTCACCAAATTCTTGGGTCTTACTTAGAACATTTTAAATGGAAACTGCAGTTGAAAATTTTTGAAAAAAAGTTTCTCTTACGAAGAGGGCGACTCAAAGTCATTCGGTCAAACTAAAAGCCCAAACCGGTTCGGTCTTAGTAATAAAGGTATAGTGTCAGCCACCGGCGTATTTTCACTTTAGGCATTTTGTCTATGGCACTCGCGATCGTGGTATTATGATCACCTGATTAACAACAATGATCACAATAAAAGAAGCGTTTATAATACATAATAAACAGACATTTTGTGTGACTAAGTGGACAGTTATTCACGTTAAAAACTTTTGGCAGAAAATAGGAAGAATGTTCTGTTGTATTAACACTAAAAGGGAATTAGTTAAACGTCAAGAAAAAGATCGGACTTTATCGATTGGATACAGGCGCTGGTATACTTCAAACTCTGATTCCTCAACGGAGAACTAGACATAACGTCGAGGCTTTTGTATACCATTTACTCTCGATAAAAAAGTGTTTTTTTTTCAGATGAACAGTATTGACGTCTTTTCAATTTTCAGACGCTCGTTCGAATGAACATGCCCCTAAACAGTGACGGCACAGTTATGTTCAATGCTACGCTCTTTGCCTTGGTACGCACAAACTTGAAGATTAAAACAGAAGGTACGATAATTAGGTTTCCTATTGCTTCCATTCTAACCGTTTGATGGGGTATCCGAAAGCTGGACGCCCGCAGACTTTTCTCTATCCTAAATGGTCTACTACTGTACTCTTTTAAAACTCGGCAGCCGTAACAAATCCGTGTCTCTACACTGTTCACGTTTTCCTTCTCGACAGGGTCAAACCAGGATCAGCTGAATGAAGAGCTGCGTGCAGTAATAAAAAAAATATGGAAACACACAAGTCCGAAGTTACTGGATCAAGTTGTTCCTCCGGCTGGTAGTCAGTACCTTTTTTTCGTTCTCTTGACGCCTTTATGCAATAATTTTGGGGCAGCCTTTTATCTGAATTTCGATATAACTTCAGATTCTCCCTTAATGAGAACGGTTCGTGTGAAAAAAAACTTTTCCTCGAAGTTGTCTGAGAAAATCTTTTCGTTGTAATGCTTTGTAAATCTATGCGGATTGAAAGGTAAGGGCTGACCCTTAAGATTTTCCGCGTAAGTATAATCACAAACCATCAAATCTGTTTGTGCTACGCTGTTAGTGCCACACTATGTCGATATTTAATTGCATCTCTGAAGTTACTACCGTTGCTTATTAATTCTGAATGTAACCTTTGCGGAGAAGCTGAACCTTTAGTAAGGAGCGTTAGAACAAATTTTCCTGGATCCTAGTTAGAAATAATACTGAGCATTCATAACTCACAGAACGTCTAGTTGTGAGTCGAATGAAAGAGAAGTTACGTTTTGCATTGAATCTGGACTCTCCGTTGTTCCTGAAAAACCTAGGTCATCTTTGCTCAGAATCCGTCTTTGCCCTGATTTACATAAGTCGGCTCTTTAACGTCCGAAGAAGCCTGAATAACATTTGCTGCTTTTTATTGAGGGCTGCAGTAAAGTCCTTGGGGGAATAATAATTAACGTTCAGAAATTACAAATATTTGTTATTAAATGGTGCATAAACAAGCACCAGAAACATTGATGGCGAATAACTATGTAGGTCTGTCTGTACGTTGCCTTTCCTCAAAATAGTCAATTCGTGTCTTCCTTGTTCACTCTGAACGCGGTTGTGCTTGTATTTTACGCGGTTTCCAAATTCATGCAATGCAAGCATTTCAAGCAAGCTGCATTTAATGAAACTTTCAAGTTGCCGAGTGGTTTTTCATCATTTGGCTTGCAACCGCGCAAATATTGACTCTCCCCTCTCTCGATTCGCATATTCTCCATGTGAAACGAATCGTATTCACGTTGCTTTTGGGGGTGCTATGAAGTGATTTTAAAGCTAGTCTGTGTATTGACATCCAGAGCCTTAAGATGGACGTTGGTGTGGTCATCTTTAATCAGCATAGACGCCAGTTATATTGTTTGTAGTTAGTCTGTATTCCTTACGGGTGATGAGTATGAGGCAAGACGTTCTTCACAATAAATTCGCATGTAAACATTCTGCCCAAAGTTGGATGTTGGTTGGGCTTTGTTTCTGGAATTCTGCAATCCGCTTGGGTAAAACAATGGGCTGGTTGCGTAGCCACAAGTAACAATATGAAGTTATTCTTGTGGTGCTCCTTTTTTGAATTTAATGTGCAAAGCCTGACAAAAGCTATCAAATACTATGCACATTTTTCTTGCGGTCATGCCCACCGTGGCGAGAAGGATCAAGTTCTGCATTTGGAGTTAGTTTTTAACCTGGATGTGGAGTATTGTGATAAGTAAATTAAGGATTCAATTAACTTATACTGTCTGACGACTTGTTTTTATGACCGTCGGTCTTAATCAGTTTGCCATCTGAGATATCTAAAAATAACGGCTCGTGAACTCCGGGAGTTGGTAATTTTGAAAAAAACAGGGAAAACCAATCGCCTAGATCCTATCTCCTCCAGTCGCATTTAGAACAACAACTACACAGTCAGTGTTTGCCTTGACTTGGAAAGCATTTCTGTTTATGTAAAAACCAGGTAGAGATGAAAAGTCCACTTTCCTAATGACGAATAGTTAGACTTTGATA